ATACAACCTGACCTCTGGGAAGGGGTGAGACTCACCGCAGGGCACGAAACAAGCCGGTGAGACCCCACCCCCTTTCAATAGAACAGGAGGAAGCAAAGCCTGGACTACAAGTCAGAGGCCCTGGGGCCCATGGGCTGTAGACACTGGGGCCACATCTGCCTTTTGGGATTAAATCTCTGCCCGGGGCTCACCCAGGGGCAGAGAGGTGGGAACAAGTCTCCAGGCTGCTTCCTGACATGCTTAGAGGAGCGAAGTCCCCATTTCCTTGAGAAGGAAACAGGGACAATAGAATGTGGGGTGTCTGGCTAGAAGCTGCTGCTGCCTCCTGCTCAGGCCATTTCAGCTGCAGTGTTGGCCCCAACCTTATCCTTAAATGAAGACTGGACCACCAGCTTGGAGGCCAAGGGTAGCTGTCTGCAGACACAGCTGGGCCTCCACTCAAATACCTTGACCTTGGGACCTCTCCCATGTTCCCAGAGCGGGGGCTCAAGATATCCAGTATCCCTCCAGAGCCAAGGGAGCTCTCCCTGGGGAAGCAGCTCTCTGAACAGGCTCACTGCCAAACCCCTGCAGCTGACATTCGTGCCAAGGCAGCTGGGGGAAAGCTCTCATTCACCACCCCTCCCGCATATGTTCTCCACTCTCCTGACCTTTCCTCCGGGTGAGCCTGTGTGGTCAGGACAGAACACCCAACACCTCTGAGTCTCCGGGATACAATTTCATCCTCAACCACAGGAGTGACTTCCCCGGGGCTGTGGCCTCATAGGCGACCACTAGGGACACACGTGCCCTCGAGGTGGGCTCTCTCCTACTTTGTATCAAGGTACCCTTGAAGGCTTTTCAGCACATCTCTGCCTTATCCAAGGCCTCTGCTGTCCAAGGGGCTGAAGAGCCCGGGCGTTTTTCTTCTGACCCTTGTGACCCCACTTTCCTTTATTGCTGTTTCCTTGAGGGAACGATTTCTATTTATAATTCTTTAAATATAAAAAGAAATAACAGATTGTAGAAGGCTGGGGCTGAAGGGTAGGGCAAAGGACGGGAGGACAGAAACCTGAAGCTGTGCTCCAACTTCAGAAAGATGACCTGGATCCCACCAAATCTGCCAGACGCCCAGGAAATGCCCTGAGCGTGAAGCATGAGCTGGACAGGCAAAGGCTGCCAGGATAGAATATGCCCTTGCTTCTCCCAGGTTCTGGATGAACCAACAGAAGAGGTCTCCTGCCCTCCTTAACTGCCCAGAGCACCCCACATTCCAAGGAAAGGGGCGCACAGCCCCTCCTTTTGTCCTGGGGCTCTGACCTCCTCTACCCAGGTCACCTGTTGTCTGTCAGAAAAGCAGTTCTGGCCTGGATGCTAGAGGGGGCGTGACTTTGTTCCTGGGCTGTCCTGTTCCTGTGATGAAATAGAGGGCAGACTTGCTAAAGCTACAGAATCTGCTAAAGTGTCTTTGCGGCTGGCACTGCTCTCAGCATGACCCTGTAGCACCTGAGGGGTCTAGACACAATGACAGAAGGCTGTTCTATCAAAATGGGGGAAGGAAAGGAGGAAGAAAAGGAAGGAAATGGTTTTGTTTGCTTCCTACCTCCTGGAAATAGGCTGGGAGTGGGGGCAGAGACTGACCCCAAAGGTTGATAGGGTTGGGGAGATTAGGGGAAAAGTCAAGGAAGGTCCTAGAGGGATCCCTTCCCGCCCAAGTTTCCCCGAAAGGCACCAACCACATGCAAGCATTCCCCTCTATGGCTTCTGAGAAGAGAAGGAAGAGGCAGGTGGGTGAGGCCACGAGACAGACTAAAGGAAGGGCATGGCTCAGTCCAGGACAGGGCTAAGTCCCCCCTCAGCCTGGCCCTGAGGAGGGGAGCCACAGCCCGGGGAACAGGCCCCTCCACATCTGTGCTGATGCCCAGGCGGCATGGAGGAAGGGAGTGGGTCGGAGAGGCCAGGGCTGGAGGGGCGGCTGCTCCCTGGTGTGTGGGGAAAGCAGGTAGAGGGGGACACAGCCTGCCACCCGCTTCTCACAGTCCACATTCAGCCGCCCTACTCACAACCAGCCTGCCTCCCTCAGGCCTGGCCCACCTGGCCCACGGGGATGCTTAGAGGGATAGGAAAGGGCTCAACTCCCACAGCTACGAGGTTCCTGCCTCAGGTCCTGGGGTCCCAGGAGAGATTATCCTGGGCTTGAGGGAGACTCGTCTCCACCTCCAACAGGTCCCGCCTAGCTGAGGCCTCGCCCAAAGTCAGGGCTGCCGGGAGCTTCTCTGGCAAAGCAGCCTGTTTCCTATTTTGCAACAGCGAGGCAGCGTGTCTCTCAAGGGAGGAGTTACCCTGAGCAGAGTCCTGGAGCCCTCAGAGCAGGAGGGGTTTTACTCCTGTGGCCTCCCTGGAGCTTGTCAGTCTCTAGAAAGCAAATGGTAGATCCTGGGCTTCCCCTGGAGTGGCTGGGACCTCTCCCCAGGGAGGTGTCCAGGTATTGAAAGCCCAAGGACGTGGACATGAGACTCGGACACACAGGAGATGGATGCCCTCAGGTTAGATCCAGTCAGGTCAAGCTGAGAAGAGCAGCAGCCAAATCAAAACTTCCTGCTCTAAGATTCAGCCAGAAGTGGGCGCCTGAGGTCTGGGAGCGGCGGAGGGCTGCCGCAGGGGCCCTGGTCCTGCTCACACTGCTGTTTCCCGCTCTCTGTGAACATCTTCCTTCTTTCTCTTCATCTTGCAGAAGCCGTGGAGGCCACAGAAGCAGGCAAAAGTGAACTGGGGCATGCCCTGGGCCAGGCTGGGGGCTCCTCACTGGAGATCTGCAGGGAAAGGTGGGGAGGAAAAGGGGGTGGGAGAAAGGCAAGAAAAAGAAGCGAGCTGGGGTTAATGTTCCCAGAGGCCCTCCAGGTCTGACCGGAATCACGGCCACTCTCCGGGGCTGCCCAGGCCCTGTTGGACCTCTGACACCCGCTGGGGGAGGAGTCATGCCACCAAACAACATTGGCTCTGAAACCTCAGTGTTTCCCGATCTGTGTGGAGCTGATGTCATTCCTCAAATTGGAGCCTGGGTGAGTCCAGGCTCGGGAAGAAAGGTCCCAGTTGACCCATCTTTGTTTCCCTCCGGCTCCCTTCTGCCTCGCCTCATCATCACACACCTGTGGTTGTGGAACAGGAAGTCAGCTGACTCAAAATAAGCTCTGGCTTGTGCGCCACCTCACACAGGTTGGGGTAGGGGATTGCACTCACTCCTTTAGGTCACATGGTCTGATGATCCAAGTGTGGGACTTTGTGGACCTTGAAGAAAGTCCCTTGTCTAGCACAGCCTTGACCTTGACACCTGGAACTCAGTCGGGATTCCTCCCTTCCCTAGCAGCCCCAATTTGTCGGATACCCTTAGGGAAGTCTATAGGGAACATAATACACTTTCTTTAACTGCTCAGGGCAACACACATTGCGGTCTTCCTCATGCAGAGAACAGATTGCAGAGCATTCTCTTGCCAACAGGCTATTTTATTGAGCACCTACGCAGGGCAAAGGGGTAGGGAGGTAGGGACATAAGGGTCAAAGTATAGTTTCTTTCCTGGCATAACATTAAGTCTGAGGTAGACATCGAAGCTGGATTTGCCCCAGCTGGGTATGTTGTCCCTCACCTCTGGCTGACATGGCCTCTCAGCACAGGAGGCAGGGCCCCCTCTGGTGTCTGTGGCAGGAGGGGAGCAGTTTCAGGAGATCCACTCTCAGTCTGTGACAGCGTCCCTTTCTCCAAACACTCATTTAGGTCTCCCCAGCCTCAGCCACCTGCAGGTTCCTCCCGCTCACTTCTCTGCCCTTCCTCTGCCCCCAGGCCCTCCCTGGAGGGAGTACAAGTGCATTCCCATCAGCTCAAGCAGAGTAGCTGGGCCCAAAGGACAGCCCCCTGCATGGAACCCAGGCCTGTATCTTGGGCCTGATGTGAATCACCTCTCTCTAGGAAGAACACTGGGGACTGAGAGGAAGGAAGGAGGCAGGGGGCTATGGAATAAGGAAGCGTAAGGCACGTCCCTGCCTCAGACCCTCTTGCAATAGAGATTGCATTCGATGTCCCAGGCACAAAATGCTAGGCACACCTTTGAGGAACCCGGCATGGCCCAGGTGGTGGCTCTCTGGAAACTCCACAGGACTGGCCAACCTTGTTCCTTTGGACAAACTTCCTTTATGTTCCTCCAGGTGGAGCAGAGGGCCCATCTGGCAGGCCGCCTCCAAGCACAGTGCCAACAGTGGAGCCGGGTTCTGTCAGGATTCTCTCCTCCCTCACCCTCTCAGTGTCCTGGTAATACAGCTAATGACTGTAATTTATAGGTGCAATGCATTTCTAATGGCCAGCTGGGTGGGCAGGAGGCCCATCTTGAGTCAGCATGGGTGGGTAGACTGGTTATTTAATCACCCAGTTTCCAGCACCACCCACGCACCCACTCTCCTGGAATAGAGAGAAGGAGCAATCTCCAGGATATATATAGACAGAGCTGAGACACAACTACTATATTTCTAGATCTATCTACTGCAGCTATCTCTGGATTCCTCCCGTGACAAACCTAGAGAGACAGGGATCTAAACTGGGCTTAGGTGGCCTGGGTTCTATTCTCGGCGCTGAGACGCTGGCATGCTGTCACACTGGGCAAGTGGCTGTACACCTCTGGCTCTTCATTTCCTCATTTCATTGTTCCAGGTTAATCAAGGTTTAATGCTTAGAGCCCAAACCTAAGGGCTGGAAGGGCACTGGGAATCCTAGCCTGATAGACAGAAGGGAGGGAGAACAGGTGGGTGTCCTTGTCATCAGTAATGGCGATATGTACACTTTCTTTGCTGGGGGATGTACATCAAGGGTACTAGCCCATGATTACAGAGAAAATATCTAGTAAGAAATCAACAGAGTGGATCTGGGTAAGGAATGCATTAGGAAAACAAGCCAGGCAAGTAGTAGCTCAGAGCTTCACTCCTCCATTCCCACTCGCTCCAGGCCGCGATGCGACTCAGGATATCTGGTCCCAGGGTACAGATCTCTCGCCTCTCTACCTTACCTCCCCTCCAAGGTCTGCTCTTTCTTAAAAACAGCAAAATGTGCCCCCTGACACAACCATTCCTCCTGGGCTCCTTTGGGAAGGGGAGAAAATCCTGAGGTTTGGTCTCCTTGTAGAGAAGTCTGGGGGCAGGATAGGAGGAGCCAGGACCTACACAGCAAAGAAAAGGTTTGTTAAGCAGCTCAGAGCTGGGCTCGGGTCTGCAATCTGGCTCCCAGAGCTGTCCAGAGCTTACTGCCTCATAGGGATTCCTGGGCCCTTGTTTCTAAGGATAGGAAGTAGGAGAGCCTGGTTACTTTGCTCAGGTCTTCATATCCGAAATGCTCTGGTTGTCTCGCACTTCTCTGTCAGGACCTGACAGATTCTTCACTGCAAGGTGCACGACTCCAAGCCCTGCAGGCCATCTGGGCTCTGTCCATGGCACACAGGTCCCTGGCCAGCCCCAGAAGCGGGGAGACATGGAGCAGAGAACCCCTTCCCATTTCAATGTTCCTCCTGCTGTGGGCCCC